GCAACGGGATGCCCAGAAAACCACCAAGTAGAGGCGGCCTCCTTCTACTTCAAGCACGGGGCCGACACCTGGTGGGTCCACGAGAAACCCATTTACGAACAAAGCCCCGGGTTCAACTGGGAAACCCTAAAAACGCGACTACGAGAACAATTCTACCCCAGTCACCTGAAAGAAACCATATACGAGGAATTCCTCCACCTAAAACAGGGAGCAACCCCAATCACAGAATACTACCAGCAGTTCCTTAAGCTAGCTCGCCTCACTCCCGAACTAGTACCTACAGAGACAATCAAAATCAATAAATTCATAAAGGGCCTCAATCCCGAAAACCAGGAGGCCGTAACTATACGAGAACCGAGAACCCTCGAAGAAGCCTATGCCAAGGCATTCCAACTACAACAAATCCCAGACGAACCACAGGAAACGCACCTGGGACACAAAAGAAAGATTGAAGGGAACCACACAAACCCCATTCGGGAGCTTAAAACCGCCAGGGCCACCTTACCCCACCAAGCCGTGACACCGGCCACTCAAGGAAGGATCCTTACCATAAGCAAAGCCAAAATCGGAGATAACAACATAGTCTCCGGAACATTCCTCGTACACACCACCCCCGCCACCGTACTATTTGATTCAGGGGCTACCAACTCATTTATAGCTACCGAATTCGCCACTCAACTCGGTCTTAACACCAGCACCAAAGTACAACTCCAGGTCAAGGTAGCCTCCGGTGAAATCATAAGATGTGACCGCATGTACAAAAACATAATGATCACCATCAAAGGAGTGGAATTCCCTAGCAACCTAATATAATTCAGACTAGATGGAGTACAAGTGACCCTGGGCATGGACTGGCTAAGGAAATTCCAGGCACAAATCTTATGCGGTGAACAAAAAGTGGTCTTACGGGGACCAAACGGGAAAAGGGTATCCTACCACGGAACCCACAAGGATCTGGAAATCAAATTAGTAAACATGATAAAAATGAAGAAATATCTAACCCAAGGAAACGAAGCCTTCCTATGCTCGGTCAAGGACCTCAACACTGAGATAGCCGAACCCCAAACCATCCCAGTGGTAAACGAATTCACCGACGTCTTCCCAGACGAAATCCCCGGAGCACCCCCAACCAGAGAAGTCGAGTTCACAATAGACCTAATACCAGGCGCTGCCCCGATCTCTAAACCACCCTACAGGCTGGTACCAAAGGAAATGAAGGAACTGAAAACACAACTTCAGGAACTGCTAGATAAAGGATACATCCGCCCCAGCACCTCACCATGGGGAGCACCAGTATTATTCGTTAAAAAGAAAGATGGGAGCATGCGTCTGTGCATCGACTACATGGAACTAAACCAAGTCACAATAAAGAATAAATACCCTCTTCCCCGAATCGATGACTTATTCGACCAACTTAAAGGAGCAGGGGTGTTCTCGAAAATTGATTTAAGATCCGGATACCATCAGATAAAAGTAGCCAACCCAGATATCCAGAAAACAGCCTTTCGAACATGCTACGGCCATTACGAATTCACGGTGATGCCCTTCGGATTCACCAATGCACCCGCTATATTCATGGACCTCATGAATCGAGAATTCCGGCCCCACCTAGATGACTTCGTCATTGTATTCATCGACGACATCCTGGTCTACTCCCGAAACGAGGAAGAACATGAAAAGCACCTCCGCACAACCCTACAAACCCTGAGAGAACACCAACTATACGCCAAGTTCTCCAAGTGTGAATTCTGGAAGGACAACGTAGCCTTCCTGGGTCACGTGATAACCAAAGAAGGAATCAAGGTGGACCCCACCAAGATTCACGCCGTCAAGGAATGGCCCACACCAAAATCACTTTCAGAGGTCAGAAGCTTCCTGGGATTAGCTGGCTATTATAGGAGGTTTGTACCCGATTTTACCAAAATAGCTCAGCCTCTCACCAAGATCATGAAAAAGGAAACCCCCTTTCGTTGGGACAACAACTGCACCACAGCCTTTCATGAATTAAAAGAGAAACTAACCACGGCACCCGTCCTAACTCTCCCCTCCGGGGTGGAAGGATTCGAAGTCTTCAGCGACGCCTCCAAAAAGGGGCTGGGATACGTACTGATGCAAAAGGGGAGGGTAATAGCATACACATCTAGACAACTCAAAACCCACGAAGAAAATTATCCCACACACGACGTCGAGCTAGCTGGCATTGTGTTCACCCTGAAAATTTGGAGACATTACCTATACGGAGTACAATGCAAGATTTATACGGATCACAAAAGCCTAAAGTACATCTTCACCCAAAAAGATCTAAAAATGCGACAACGAAGGTGGCTGGAACTCATAAAGGATTACAACCTAGATATCCAGTACCACGAAGGCAAGGCTAACATTGTGGCAGACGCCCTAAGCCGAAAGACTAACCACACCCTCAACGCCACCTGGATCTTACCAGACCAGCTATACAAGGACTTCCAGAAGTTGAACTTGGAGGTGGTAGAGCAAGGTCAAACCAACTCCGAGATCCGCCTATTCAATGCTAGAGTCATACCCACACTATTCGACGAAATCAAGGCCGAACAGCATCAAGACCCGGAACTAAGTAAAATTCGGCTCGACCTAACTCAGGGAAAGGACGAACCCTTCGAAATATGCAAAGATGGCAGCCTCCGCTATCAAGGGAGGTGGTGCGTGCCCACAACACACCCCCACCTGAAGCAACGAATCCTGAGAGAAGGACACAACTCCCCATACTCAGAACACCCCGGAGGCGACAAACTGTACCAAGATGTGAAAAAGATGTTTTGGTGGCCCAACATGAAAAAGGAAGTCGCAGACTTCGTGGGCAAATGCCTGAACTGCCAAAGGGTAAAAGCCAAACGGTGCAAGCCCAAAGGACTCGTACAGCCCCTTGAAATACCACAAGGGAAGTGGGACTCCATATCCATGGATTTTGTCGGAGGGTTACCCACAACACCAACCGGCAAGGATAAGATCTGGGTAATAGTGGACCGGCAAACCAAAACGGCACGGTTCATTGCTATGAAAGAAACATGGACAATGACGCAACTAGCCCGGGCCTACCTAAACCGAGTAGTAAAATACCACGGGATCCCCCGAAACATTGTGTCCAATAGGGATCCCAGGTTCCTCTCACAATTCTGGAAGTCTCTACAAACAGCCTTGGGGACACAACTGAACCTAAGCACTGCCTTCCACCCCACCACTGACGGCCAAACCGAGAGGACCATTCAGACCCTCAAAGACATGCTAAGAGCCTGCATGTTGGACTTCCAAGGGACATGGGAGGAACATCTAGACCTCATCGAATTCTCTTATAACAACAACTACCACGCAAGTATCCGCATGACCCCCTACGAAGCTCTGTATGGTAAAAAATGTAGAACCCCCTTATGTTGGGAAGACATGGTCGGCCTAGTAACGCTAGGACCCCAATACTTACAAGATACCATAGCAAAAGTCAAGCACATACAAGAAAGAATGAAGGCCGCCCAAGACCGCCAAAAATCCTACGCCGACCAAGGAAGGAAAAAAGCCGAGTTCACCCCTGGGGACAAAGTCTGGTTAAGAATCTCGCCCACACGAGGGGTAATGAGGTTCGGAAGAAAAGGAAAACTCAGCCCCCGGTTTATCGGCCCCTATGAAATCATAGAGAGAGTTGGGAACCTGGCCTACCGCCTCGCCCTACCCATTGAACTGGAACGGGTACACAATGTATTCCACATATCACTACAAGAAAAATGCACATAGACAACGGTTATTAACCGTTGTCGTAGGGGTATACTTTCTGTTGTTGAAGCCGGTGTTGTTGTAGGTCATGCGCATAGACAACGGTTTTTTAACCGTTGTCTTTTCTACCAACGACAACGGTTTTTTAACTGTTGTCTATTAAGTGTTGTTGAAGCCGGTGTTGTTGTAGGTCATGCGCATAGACAACGGTTATTAACCGTTGTCTTTTCTACCAACGACAACGGTTTTTTAACCGTTGTCTATTAAGTGTTGTTGAAGCCGGTGTTGTTGTAGGTCCTGCGCATAGACAACGGTTAATAACCGTTGTCTTTTCTACCAATGACAACGGTTTTTTAACCGTTGTCTATTTAGTGTTGTTGAAACCGGTGTTGTTAAAAGTCACGCAATAGACAACGGTTATTAACCGTTGTCTTTTCTACCAACGACAACGATTTTTTAACCGTTGTCTATTTAGTGTTGTTGAAACCGGTGTTGTTAAAAGTCACGCAATAGACAACGGTTATTAACCGTTGTCTTTTCTACCAACGACAACGGTTTTTTAACCGTTGTCTATTAAGTGTTGTTGAAACCGGTGTTGTTAAAAGTCACGCAATAGACAACGGTTATTAACCGTTGTCTTTTCTACCAACGACAACGGTTTTTTAACCGTTGTCTATTAAGTGTTGTTGAAACCGGTGTTGTTAAAAGTCACGCAATAGACAACGGTTTTTAGCCGTTGTCTTTTCTACCAACGACAACGGTTTTTTAACCGTTGTCTATTAAGCGTTGTTGAAACCAGTGTTGTTAAAAGTCACGTACATAGACAACGGTTTTTAACTGTTGTCTTTTCTTTAAAAGACAACAGTTATAAAACGTTGTCTATTGGGTGTTGTTGAAACACCCATAAACTGTTGTCTTTTGTAGAAAAGTCAACGGTTTCTAACTGTTGTCTATTGTAAAATAGACAACGGTTTTTAACCGTTTTTCACCTGCTTAAATTATAATCATATAAAAAAACAATTTATCCATTCACCATATGTTGCAAAGTGTAGTTACATAATTGTGCACAAGCTAATAAGGTTCAAAATAACAAGTCAAAAGACTTCCATGACCAATTCTAATTATCATCCAAGTCATAATACTACTACACAAAAAACAATTCCACGAACCAATTCAAGTCCAAATGATCACAACGTTCTAATGACCAAATCATACCTACTCTATATGACTTGATAGAATATCGGCCCATTCAGAACGCACCAGATCAATAACCGCTTTGTCATAATCAACTTGTTGAAACTACATGTAAACAATAAGAAAATAAATTAGTATAGATATAAATAATTTGCAATGAAATGCAAAATAAGTTAGGAGTAATTCAGAAAGCTCTCCAATCTGGAAGGTTATACTACAGAAAAGCTAGACAAGAAACACTAAAATGGCAACTTGCTAGACAGGAAACGCTAAAATGGCATACTAGAGTCTATTCAAGTAGAGTAAAATCAATGCATTGACAATACTTTCCTAATATGAATACAAATGCTCCCAATTGGCAACTACCATGTGGGATGGATGGCATTTATCAATCTACCAGTCATGTTTTGCCTACTTTCTAGTTTTCTCTTCCTCAAGGCCCAAACAAAACAAAACACATCCTCTATATAATGCCACTGCAACCAAGAACTTGACAATCTGGATTGATGAGAATCCTAATTAGCTCTTTAACTGTATGCAAATACTATCAAGTCAAATATGCTCTATACCAAAGTTGGTTGACTTGTTTCTATATTCTGCCATATTTCCATGAAAAAGATCAAATCTTTGTAATTGAGTATTTATAAGCCGGCAGGATTTTGGCACTTAACACCAAACCACAAAGATTAAGCACACTTTAATTTGTATATATCAATACAGTATGTTTTCCAGTCTTCCAAAAAGGAAAGATAAGAGATGCATTATCATTATTAATCACCAAAAAAGTTAAGGCATCAAGAAAATAATTGCTAACCACATATATATTAATGTACGTTCTTTAATTTTCCATCCCATCGAACAAAATTGTTAAGTTAGTTTTGATGCATGAATATCTAGCCAAAGGTGATGTAGAAGTCTCAAGAATCAAGATATTCTTTAATTTTTGACCCCATCTAACACCTAAGCATCCGCCTAACTCCTAATCCATATATATATATATATATATATATATATATATATATATATATATATATATATATATATATATATATATATATATATATATATATACATATATATATATAGCACTGTTTTCTTTTCTTTAGTTAGCCGCATAGACGCGCCGCCTAAAACGTCTAGGCGCTAGGGGCTACTCTATCGCCCGACTAGTGCCTAGCACGTACCTACTGGCTACTGCAACCATGAATGCAACCACTCACCAATGAATCATCAAGATTTCCTTTATCTACCCCGGCCCATGAAAATCAATCAATTTCAGTGATGGAGCTGAACACCAGAGAAGAATTACAATTTAGAGAAGTACGTGCAGAGGATTGAACCAAAGAAAAGGAGATCAAATTTTTGTGCAGCTTTAAAAAATAGAGTATGAATCAAATTTTCAGCAATCTAACATTAATCTATCATAATATATACAATCTAATTCTATCTAAAACACATAATAAACATTTAAATTTTTTTTAAAAATAATTATCTTTTTCATTAGTTTCAACAGAAGATTCTATTTACCCAAAAAACATTTATATAATTGAAAACATGATTCACATACATAAGTTTAGACATGCAAAGCACATGGTAAGAAACTCCATAGTAAAAGATTGAGTTTGAAGGATAAATACTGTAAGCATTTTAGAACCATGTAACTTTAAAAATAATTGCAGAAGAATCATATGACTACATGAGCTTCCTAACCTCCCGGCACAAAAGTAAATTAAGCGAGGCACAGTAAGCTTTTCCTAGTGAGCCAAGCCAGCCTACTGAACTTTCCAACTCATTATTTCTTAATGCGAATATATTCATTAAACATTCAACAAAAATTGTAACTGTAATCATAATAATGATGCATTTCATAAGGAACTCTATTCAGCAGAGCCCAAGCTTGAACATATCAGTATACAAAATAAAAAAATATCAACAGGGAAGAAAGAGAGGTTGAACAAGCTAAGATAAACCAAAGCAAGTGTACAAGTGTACAAGTGTATAAGGATTGTAATACTCCATATCATCTATCCAAAAAGTGACTTCGGAATGTATATGAATAGAATAAATAACCAAATGGGAGGAAATACCTGCTCAATGAGATCTAAACATGCTTGGTTGTCTTGAAATTCAACTTTTCTCCAGTCAATTCTATCCAACTCATATTCCTGTAATCAAACCAACAAGTAATGATACCATTATAATGTGTTCATTTTAAAAAAGATCCAGTAAACTTATTCTATAAAAGCTCCAGTTTGTGAATGAAGAAAACTATACTAATATCATATCAAAAAATAATAATAAACCCAGACTTAAAATTGGAATAAATTCCTAGGTCATACTTCTAGGTGAATCCAACAATCACACTACAACTTAGCGTGTAAAAGTTAATGTTTATTGCATATGTCCAGCTTCACCTAACAGCTTTTGTTCTGTTTACAGACATTAATAGAGGCGTCAAAAGATGAAAAAGAACTAGCAATGCAAAACCATAAATGTCTAGAATATTTATGGATCTACTAGTATGTTGCTTTCCCATTGCAAGCGATGTATTTATCTTATCTACAACCCAGTCAAACAAGCTTGCATATACAAATTTCGCCAATGCATCTCTTGTATCAATTGCCTAAATGAAGTTAACACACATTATGTTATGGTGAATAAGATCATAATAAATTAGTTCCACTCATATCATCGTAGATATAGATGCACTTCTCAACATTCATGTTATTTGATGGTGCAACTGTCTAAGAAATGTAATTTAGTAAAATTAATCAGACAACAACTTAACATACCTGCTTGTAACCAGCTACCTCGCACAGCCTCAACATAACCACAATGTGTTGTAGAAACCTGCTTTATTCTCAATAATTTCAAATGATCCATATAGATTAACCATTCTATATCGAGATGAGTTCAATCCTTGCCTCTAAATGCCAGGACCTAAGAAGCATGAACCCTAAAACTAAAGCAGATAGAATAGCTTGAATACATTTCCCTATATGCAAAAACAGATGGAATTTGAACTTACCAACTTACCATAATATACGAAATACACAGTAGGTTCCATTCCAGTATAGACTCACCTAGCAGCCTAGCTCCTCTCTCATAAACTAACCTATAATCCACAACTAACCTAGGGTTTAAAAACATTTATAGCTTTCAAATATGGAAATTCAACGATACAATTCAGAAATTAGGGATTTGGGTAAAAAAAATTGAGGACAAACCTGTAGGAGCTTAACGGCGGGAGAGGAGGCCGGGAAGAGGCATGCCGGCGGTAGAGGAGGCCGGGAAGTGGCGACAGCAGCAGAGGAGGGAAGAGGTGACGCCGGAGGAGATTGGAGCGACGGCGGTGGCTGGCCGGGGAGGGAGAAACGACGTCGGCTGGCCAGGAGGGAAGATGCGATGTTGCTTGGTTGGTTCGTCGGCGTGTGAGGCAGAGGTTTACGCAGAGGCTAGGGAGGGAGAAATGCTGAAGTTTTTTAAATTTTCACTAAGTGTGAGCTGTGTACTGGGAGGGAACAAAAATTTTTGTTTGAGAGGGAAATAAAAAAAAAAATTCGCTAAGTGTACTGTGAGGTTTTTTTTATTTATTTAGTTTTTTTTTTTTTTTTAATTTTTTGGAGGAAACATATACTATATACTATGTACTAATATTTTTTTTTTTAGCATCATATACTATGTACTAATATAATTAGGAAAATAACGAAATTTTATTTTAATTTTATAATAAACTTTCGTTTTTTTTCAAATTAAATAAGTATATTCATGGTTTTATAGGGACCGGGTCCACCTAAACGGGGTATATAAGTATAGAACGGGGTAAGAAAATATTAACTTTATAATTTTATTATCCGGGGCGCTAGACCCAAAATAGTACCGGGTATATAGGTACAGAACGCGAGGTAAGAAAATAGTAACTTTATTACTCGGGGTGTACCGCGTATATTGGTACAGAACGGGAAGTAAGAAAATAATAGCTTTATTACCCAGGGTGCTAGGTCCAAAATAGCTCATAATTTTTATACTACAGATTTTGAATTTCTATAAGTATAGATTCATAATTTCTATACTATAGATTCATAATTTCTATACTGTAGATTCATAAAATCTTTACTGTAGATTCATAATTCTAAACCGTAGATTCATAATTTAAATACACTAAATTCATAATTTCTATACAGTAGATTCATAATTTTTACACGTACTGCTGATTCATAATATCTGAACTGCACATTCATAAATCCATGCCTGCACATTCATAAATCCATGCCTGCACATTCATAATTTATGAGTTTTGAAGAAGCTTGCGCGAAAAGGAAGTGAAATCGCGAAATGTGAAAATGAAGAAGAAAAGTCGAGTTGTTAATTTAAAAAAAAAAAAAAAAGATAACGGTGTCGTTACCATTTGGGACCGTGTTCATCATGGATGGTGAACACGGTTCCATGGCATAACGATTGGAGTAACAATATTTCTCGTATCAATATCAATAGCGACGGCGACAGATGAGGGATGAGGCGGCGGCGGAGGTTCGAGCGACAGCGAACGACTTCGATCAAGAGGTTGGACTTCGGCGAACGACTTCGACGGAGGGACTGCACTGTCGCGTTGTTTTCTTATTCTCGAAGAAATTTTGTTTTTGTTTTGTCTTCCTTAAGTGTTAATGAAAATAATTGAGAGGGAATTTATTTTTTGAGAGGGAACGAGATTATTTTTTACAGAGTGTGCGAGGGAATTTTTTTTTTTTTTTTTTGGAGAGGGAAGGAGATTTTTGCAAAGTGTGATAGTCTTGAAAATCAAATTTTAAAGAAGAGTGAATTTCATTTTTTATCTTAGATTTATAGGTAACAGTCTATTTGTAATCCTTTTTTATCAAAATATTCAATTTTGGTCCTAGTATTATTTTGACATGATCAAATTTGGTCCTCTATCAATAAAATCGTTGAAATTAAATTAAATTGAATGACATTTTGATATTTTTAATACAAAGTGCGTTGACCAGTTATATTTTTTATGAAAAAATCATAATTGAAGAGCGAAATGTCCTGTATTTAATGAAATTTCAACAAATTTTTTTTCATAAAGGACCAAAATTAGTAAATAAGAGTTGGTGTGGCTTGGTGGGTTTAGCTTTGTTTGTTATGTTAGAGATCTTGGGTTCTATCTTTCCTAGTGGCATCCTTAACTTATGTTTTATACAATCATTGTCTTGGTTCTCAAAGACAACACAGAACCAAACTCGTTATATCTTAGATGTTGCACTTAAATACATAAGTGTTGGTGTGACTTAGTGGGTTTAGCTTAGTTTGTTATGTTAGATTGTGTTAGAAGTATTGGGTTCTATTCTTCTTAGAGGCATCCTTAACTTATTTTATAAAATCGTTGTCTTGGTTTTCACAGACAACACAGAAGCAACCCAGTTATATATCAGTTGTTGCACTTTGACACATAAGAGTTTGTGTTGTTTAGTTGGTTAAACTTTAATCATTATGTTTGAGGTCAAAGGTTCGACTCTTGTTGTTAACATCTTTGTTTTTATTTTATAAAATAATCAAAGACAACGGTTTTTTATAACCGTTGTCTTTGTAGTGTTGTGTATTCAAATACGCTTAAAGACAACATACCAAAGACAACGGTTAAATAAAGCCATTGTCTTAAACAAATAAAGAACGCGCAATGACAACGGTTATATAAAACCGTTGTCGTTGTAGTGTTGTGTATTCAAGTGCTATTAAAGACAACACATAAATGACAACGGTTAAATAAAACCGTTGTCTTTTATAAAATAATAATGCGCAAAGACAACGGTTTTAAACAACCGTTGTCTTTGTAGTGTTGTGCATTCTAGTGCGCTTAAAGACAACACACCAACGACAACGGTTAAATAAAACCGTTGTCTTTTTTTTTTTTTAAAAAGAGTGCACAAAGACAACGGTTTTAAACAACCGTTGTCTTTCTAGTGTTGTGTATTCTAGTGCGCTTAAAGACAACAAGCCAACGACAACGGTTAAAAAAACCGTTGTCTTTAAAAAAAAAAAATGCACATAGACAACGGTTTTAAAAAACCGTTGTCGTTGTGGTGTTGTCTTTTCACAAAATGCACAAAGACAACACACTTATAACAACGGCTAAGTAAAAACCGTTGTCTTTGACAAAAGTGTTGCATCAAAGACAACGGTTTTGGACCAAACTGTTGTCTTTTATACAAAAGACAACACTTTTCTTAAAAACTGTTGTCTTTCTAGTGCTGTCTATGTGCATTTTTCTTGTAGTGTATCCCAACTAAAGAAATATGTACACGACCCGAGCCACGTACTACAACCCGAGACCATAGACCTTGACGATGCACTAGCTTACGAAGAGAAACCCGTAAGAATCCTGGACACCAAGACAAGAACCACCCGCCGACGAGCCATAGAAATGGTAAAAGTCCTCTGGACCAACCATGGGACCGAAGAAGCAACATGGGAACTCAAAGACACAATGAAAGAACGCTACCCCGAACTCTTCACACCAGGTAACCAAGACGAAAGCATATGATGAGGGAAGAAGTTACTCAGCAAGGACCAAAGCTTCGGGGACGAAGCTTCCCGTTAAAGGGGGGAGAGTGTAACACCCCGCGTTACGGCCCATAAACCAATTAATTAATTACCCAAAAAGAAAGATTAAAATCTCATTAACTAGGAAAGGCCCACCATAAGCCCATGGACCCATATCCCTAAATCCAACCCTTTGTCCCATAGGAAATAGAAGTAGCCAATTATATAAATAGGGGCATAGGAGGCACCAAGAATTATCACCACAAATAATCCCTCACCACACAAGAAAGTTCCAAGAACCCCCTTAGGAGAAATCAAGAAAGGAGGAATCTTAAAGAAAGATCCTTCATAGCCAAGGAAATTAATTAATGCTAAGAGGTAACCCATGTCTCAACAAAACCTATTTTCCTTGCTATAATGATCTTCTTTGGCCTCCTCTCTATACATGTGTCTTGATGAATCGTTTATGATATTGATTATATGTTCTTGATGATTGTGAGATGATTTTATGTGTGATCTTGATGATGATAAGAGGTTCTTGATGACTATGTGATGTTCTTGATGAATCTTGATGTTTTGGCAAATAAAAGATGAACTATGATTTTATTGATTTGAATATGATTAGAGCCCTAGGTTAAAATTGGGAATTTCGTATTGTGTTGTTCTTGATATAATTGGGTGGGATTTTGCATGTTCGGGTGTTGATTACGTTTAGAAGTCATGATAGGATATGTGCTATATGATTCTTGCTTTGATCCGTTAATTGTCTACGTGGTGTCATCAATTGTGTTTAAAAGTGTCTAAGCATGGTTTCGGGTTCCACAACGGATCCCGGGACGTCTATTTTGATAAAGAGTCAGTGGGGGTAGGTGGGGGTAGGGGGACCCGCCACCTACCCGCTGCCCGAGAAGGGCGTCGCCGGCAGCGGGCAGCCGGCTGGCAGGCGACTGCCCGCCGGGCACCCGCTGCTCGGAGGCTTGCCGCCGGCAGGCAGCCGGCGGGTGGTCCTCCACCCACCGACTACCCGTTGGAAATTGTCCAACTCGGGACTCCGGCTTCCCCGTTTGATGTTTCCCTGACTCTCGTGGTGTCCCAAAGGACTCAGTTTATCGTGCCTAAGTCTAGTTTGATGTTCGGGTACCATTCGTAGGATAAATGAGTCTTATATATATCGCATGCTAGTTAAATTGGTATCCCGTTGGCCTAGGTGAAAGAAGTATGAACCCTTTAGGATTATTCCTAGTATGTGGATGACCACGCAGAGGTTTCATTATATGTTTTCTCCCCTTTCCCAATGTGTTAATATGGGTTGCATGTGCTTGCAATGTGTTATGTGTGCATGATACCCCAATTTGGTTGCGATCAAATTGGTTATTCCTGAGCTGCGGTTTAGAAGCTGGCTGCGGAAAGAATTACACTCTTGGGCTGCAGTCCACCGTTTGGTTGTGATCAAACATTTTACATGAGTTGCGGTTCATATTCCTGGCTGCGGTCAGATGATCACTTTTAGGCTGCGGTCCACCGTTTGGTTGCGATCAAACGTTTTACATGAGCTGCGGTTCATATTCCTGGCTGCGGTCAGATGACTACTCTTGGGCTGCGGTCCACTGTTTGGTTGCGATCAAACATTACGATGAGCTGCGGTTCATCGGTCGGTTGCAATCGACCCCTTCGTATTGCGATACGAGGCAGGGTGCTGCGGGGCCATGTCAGAGCTATATGCGCTGACCCTCATGTATGGGCATGCGATTGGTCCTGTGGCGCCACTAAAGTGTGCTTGTGTGTGATGAGATACGAATTGGGATGATGATATGAATGAGATGAAGTGAATCTGTGACCATAGGATATATGCTAGTATCTTTATATGCTTGATTATAACTGTTGAATAAGCTTATCCCTATCTGTCGAGTCTATTCTTGGTTTTAAAACTAGTGTCTCCTAAGTATA